TGTATAGTGTACATAACTTCACAAGGACAAGTTTTAGAACGGAATTAATTTCAGTACAAAAGAGCGTGTGTACGAAATCGTACGAAAATACCTTCCGTCCGAAAATTTCCTGCTATACAGTATTTCAGACAGGGGGGGGTGATAAAAGACTGGTCCCATTTTCGGAGAAGACGGTATGTTATTTTACTTGCCCACTCTGATTCGTGGCAGTAGGGTCGCCCAGGTTAAAGACTGGTGATTTGGGAAGCCAGAACTGTAGTCATAGAAACGCGCATGATTATCAGGTATATCTGAACAGTGTATTGCTGATCCCAACGCAGTCAAAGGGAATGCACATGCATTTCTTTTTTTCACAATGGGCAATATGCTTATAAGGCCAGGTAAACTATAAGGATTGTTTATCGTCAGATTTTCCCGAGAACTCTGGGCAGACAGGAAGTATTTATTTTATTTTTTATTCTGCATGTATGGCTGCATGGTAGGAGTTTGCAGCCCCTAGACATGCCTTTTTATTCACTTTTCTTTGAAGCCATTTTGCGCCGATTGAGAAAAATCCATGGGATGCAGATGGCTCTCGTCGGCCTCGAATAACATCTTGCCAGATAATTTTGAGGATGCAAATATGGAAAAGTGAAACAACCAATGCAGAGTAGGACAACAAAGAAAATCAGGCAGCTGATAATCTCTTTCACTTTTCAAGCCCGTATGGCTGTATGGTAGGAGTTTGCAACCCCTAGACATGCCTGTTTATTCACTTTTCGTTGAAGCCATTTTGCGCCGATTGAGAAAAATCCATGGGATGCAGATGGCTCTCGTCGGCCTCGAATAACATCTTGCCAGATAATTTTGAGGATGCAAATATGGAAAAGTGAAACAACCAATGCGGAGTAGGACAACAAAGAAAATCAGGCAGCTGACAATCTCTTTCGCCTTTCAAGCCCATAGCACCTACTGTATTTTTCGGAGTATAGTGCGCACTTTAGATGTGCTATTTTAGGCCCTAAATCGCAGGTGCGCACTATGCTCCGAATATGAAATGCATGTACTTCAATGAAGATTGAAGTGCGCACCCCCAACGAAGATTGGGGGTGCGCGTTATACAAAGGTGCGCACTATACTCCGAAAAATACGGTACATGTATGATTCCACCGGGGGACTTCTCATTTCAAGATCTGTAGCCACGCTGATTAAGTGTTGTATAGGCGTAGATCGCAGTACATACAGTACATTTTCCGGAACTAAAAAACGAAACAATTTTGCTGGGAGGGCGAAAATTCGGGGCGGGCGCTGACGATAAACAATCATTTTTTTTACTTTGCCTAACGTTGCGGTATTTTCCGGAGTATAAGACACACTTTGGAAACTCGAAATTCCGCCCAAAGGGGGGGGGGGGGGGGGGGGGAGGGTGCGGCTTATACTCCAATGATCAAATGAACGGTTATAACATGGCAGATGTCTGTATTGTATTTCGTTGCAACAATAGGGGTGCGGCTTATAGTCCAGCGCGGCACACACTCCGCAAAATACCGTACATGTATTGTGTGTTGTGTTGCGTGTTCTGAACGTGTAGATTGCCAAACTGAACGAGCTCAGTGCCATCCCAGTGCCGTATCCGTACGAGATGGTTACACGCTGCCAGCGTGGTCGTGTCTGATGACCTGGTTAACAATCTTATTCAGCGCTGGTTGCTACCGGATCCGTGAACTGCCGACCAATAAGGAAGTTCACAGCTCAACTAGCGGAAGTTGTTTTTCTATGCATGCATCTTATCAAGGTTATCGTTTTGGCTTGTCGTATCTCTTTCGTCAACTCTCTTTATCGTAATCGTTTCCTTGGGTTGGTTTTCTATTACAGTGACTATCTGAACATGCCATGCAGCACTGATCGTTCTAGACGGTGCGGAGCTCCTTTAATGGAAGATCATCGCACGTTATAGTTTCAGTGCAATTTCTTACGTAGGCGCTGACAGGTGGAATGCACTGCCACCAGCTTACCACCTGTGTAATTCACCTGCTAAATTAAGGCCTTAGGCCTGTGGGGATTGCCCTATTCAAAATTGAAATACTAATAATAAAATTAATGATAATTTCGATCATCCGTCAAGACTTTCTTACGGTTTCCTGTAAAAAGGTGATGACGCCTGTGGGGAACTCCCTAGTATTAAAAATAAGAATACAAATCGTTTGTAGTTTGAGCACTCTGGCGCTAGAGCGACGACCTACCTTAATGTCTGTGGTGCCTCCTTTGCACCATGGCTGGTAGCTCGGCCTATTTAGCTCGTAGCTGCACTGATGAGGCCGTTATGGCCGAAACAGCTTGCTGTCTGCAGCATTGGGAATGAAAATAAAGAAAATATCATAATGGAATTTGGGACCAACCGTAAATACCATGCACTTACAGAAAAAAAATAATCATCTCACCTGGAGGGTGTTTGTATGTGTGTGTAGAGGGTCTTTGCGCTGTTCGTCTTTCACGGGGAACCTCATTGAAGCCTCAAGGATCTAAATATGGGCAAGTGCAAGGATACCGAGACCTTTGGTCGGAGGAGTCCACAACGCCCCCACCTACACAGCTGCGCTAGTGGATACTTGTAGTCAGCCCCGACTCATTAGTTGTTTGTTCTGTCAACCCTCAACTTCTGCGTTCTGGTCGTTTCTTCGTTCTCCCTGCATGCAACTTTGTTATCTTTCTTGTTATAGTTCTTTTTGTCTCGAGCCGGCTTCACGGTCTTTTGTAAAAAATAAATAATACAAAAGTATGTTGTTTGTCTACTGTACAAGTACATACCAAACCCTGTGTTGCAGTGAAATCTCAGTCTTACATTATCTACCCCGCAGGCACTTACAAATCTGCACTGCTGTCTTCATAGCCACGTTAGTATGTAACCTTGGCCCAATGATTATGTAAAGAAAAATGAAAGGTAAGGGGCCATCCGTAAATATAGATATTTATTTAGAAACGAAAACTAGTCGTTTAAGGGGAGGGGGTTGAGCGCCTGTTCGTTTCTCCAAAAAATATCGATGTACAGTTTGTATGTGTGGGCACGTCCAGAAAAAAAGAATAAAATTAATATCGATACCATGTACCGTTTGCATGTGTTCGTTTCTGAGGGAGGGGGGAGGGGGGTTGAAGAGAAATGACTAGTTTTCGTTTCTAAATAAATATCGGTATTTACGGATGGCCCCTAACCTTAAAAAAATGGGACCTTCAGTACTCTTGGACGCCGAAGAACGGCCAGGCTAAAATTTCGCTATGCACGCCATACCAATGTACACACGGTGACTCACCTGCGCATAGACTGTAATACATGAAATCAGAACAGCCTAGGCTAGGAGGCTGACCCTGCAGTTCTTCAGCACTCGACAGTACAGTACCTACATCAATCATGGCTATGGCCTTTCCATGAGCGAAGTGAGCCGAAACAACGAATGAATTCTAGACGGCCTTATACAAAAAATAAGAGAGAAATGAGCAGGAGATCGGTTTGGTATGTACATGTGCCCTATCAGTGTAGGGGGGGGGGGGGGGGGGCAGTACCCTGATGAATCAAGTCAGGCAAAGGCTGAGCTAGGCGTGCACGCAAGTCTGTTTATATTCTCTCAATCTCTTCTAGCAAAGCGCTGTGTTACGTGTGTGCATGCACCTAGCAACCACTCTAAATGGAAACTAAAGGCATGTGAAAAAAGGAGATGGACAAATTGTTACGAGTTATTACTAACTGTCCACCAACGTAAGTAGATCTTGTACAGTTAGCGAGTGCGGCAAAACGGTACAAAGCTGACAAGGAGTACTGAGACATTAATTAAAGGCATGTGTTCTTCTAACCTAATGCTGTATGACTGTGCTCAACCAGGGTACCAATCGACGTGGCAATACCTCTGAGCAGGTCTCTGATATCCAACAAGGCTCCTGTCAACTCCTGACATTGCCTTGCTCCAAGAATGCTCTCACTGTCTGTGGCCCGTGCTGATGTTCTCCTCACTGTTCCGCCACTGCATTCATTCATCGCCGCAGTGGGGAATTTCCCACAAGCTTCAGCAGGGGAACTCCTGTGTGCCTCCCCAGGAGATTGCCCGTGGCTGTCTGGCGGTGTTTGTCGGTGGCAGTGCGGACAGGGAGCTGCTCTGCTGTAGTCTGGTTCCTGTGTTTGGGTTGATTTCCTCATTGCTGCCACATCTCCAGGTGATAGAGCGTTGGCACCGATACCAGCAGCTGCAGAGATGAGGCCAACAGAACAGGGACCAGAATTTACCATGCCGGCGACAGATCTATGATCGCATCCGCTCTGCGGAGACCTTGTATAAACGGCAAAGGCTCCGCTGGCCGTTGCAGAGTGGCTACACGATGCATACACGTTTGCGGATGATCGGCAGGCCAGGCCGTCCACGCTTGGCTCTGAATCATTCTTGCTGATGATTGGCGAGAGATCACTGGGATTTTTCGGAGACTGGCGATCAGCTCCAGAAACCTCCAACGACGATGTTGGGCTGCTCCCGGCAAGACCATTTTCTTCGTAATTGGTGCCAGTGGCAGTGGGAGATCGCAAGACATCATTGGAGTCTTCAGAGGAGACAAACGGTGACTGAGTTCCATTGTGACAAACATTAGGTCCACGTATGCTGCCAGCTTGTTGCTCTTCACTACCAGCTGGTTGCAGTGTTTGGAGCGCTGTCCATGCTACTGCTGGCGTGACTGCTTTTCTGCCAGTGTCGACAGCAAGCCCTGAGCATGCTTCCGGGGACGCTCTAGGAACTCGAGGGCTGCGAGTAGATGATGTAGGAGTCGGCGTTTCCAAGCCGGGATCATCGGTCTTGCTGCACGCGGTACTGCTGCTGCTACTGCCACCGCTGCTGCTCCGCTGGCTGTCAGAGAGATAGGAGGAGACCTGCCTGACCTGTCCGGAGAGGCGTTTCTGCTGCTGTGTAGATGCAGGTGTTGGCGTTTCCAAGCCGGGATCACCGTTCTTGTTGTACGCGCTGACACTGCTCCGCTGGCTGTCGGAGAGCTCTGAGGAGAGCCTGACTAGTCCGGAGAGGCGTCTCTGCTGCGTCTCGTCAAGCAGGCACTTCGGGCCTGTCCGCGTCGGCTGCGGTGCGGCACCGGGTGGCAGCTTGTCGCGACGCCGACTGCGCTTCTCCGACGCCACCAGGTTCTTCCACTTGGTCTGCAGCTGCGTCGCCGAGGGGCCGGACAAGGGCGCGAGGCCGCGCCGACAGGCGAAGCGCTTGGACAGGTCGCGCCATATGCCCTGCTGCCGGTGGCCGGTGGCCGCCGAGCTCTTAAGGTGCTCCTCCAGGATGTCCAGCAGCAGAACGGTCTCGCTGGCCGTCCAGCGCCACGCGTTGCTCTCGTCGCGATACCTCATCCCCGGACCTCCACCGCCATACCCGTGGTCCTCGCGCCCAGTCCCCGTGTGCCTGCTGTTTCCGTTGCCATGGTTGCGTGGCATGTAGACACTGAGATGCTCCGGCCTGCTGGTGGCCGCCGCTTTCTTCATCATCACTACCGTACGTGAAGCCGTGCCCAAAGCGGATTCCGTGCTGCATGATGCCATGGTGATGGCGTCGTTATAGGGACGTTTCCTTGGCGACGGATGTGGATGGTCACGCTCATTCGGTGCGGTGCCGGTCCAGCAACCTTTCATAATGTCCTCTGCACAGGGCATCTCACGTGACCGCTTTTCTGCGGGGCGACTGCGTCGAAACATGCCTGCGTCCTCCTGCCACATCCTGGACCTGGTGATGTGAGTTGGGCTTTCATCACATCTATCACTACTACTGGATCGGAAGTCTGTGTCGAGTGGGTCTTGCTTCACTGTCGGAGAGACGCGACTGCCACTCGCACTGAGACCTTCTGGGGGAACTAGGATTCGCATTGGCTTCAGGGGTAGATCTCGTACTGCAGCTGACACGGTTTCCCGAGTCTGGAGGATCTCACGTGCGTATTGTAGCTCGCTGGCTGGTAACACAACTTTGATCTGCCCTGACGACGAACTCGGGCTCAAGACAGGCAGATCACCGCCCAGGGACGGTCGATTTGCAGGAGGACGGGGCAAGATCGCACGGGACAGTGTCTGCGGCTCGCCATCACGCCGCGTCATGGGTACAAGTGGATGTTGGTAGGGTGACACGTGGGGAACGTATGGACGACTAGCACTCGCGGTGGTTGCCACAGACTGCACAGCTCTCACCGCGCCCTGATCCATGGCAGCTACCGAGCTGATGGCCTGAGCAGGAGTGCCCAGTGGATCTACAGGAGAAAATGGTGCAGTTGTACGTCCTCCAAGCTCCTGGTGACTAGTGGTCCGTGCCAATAGTGGCGGTGGACTGCCGGACGGGCTGCTCAACGGGGACGCGTCCTGCAGCTCCACTTCATCTTCTTCATTGTTCAACATGATCGCCTCTAGGGGAAATGTGTGATCAACCGCGTCTCACCGAGCTGCTGCGCTGCGCTGCAAGGAACGCAACGGATCGGTCACACTCACAAAACTGAGAAGGTCAAGAGTGGAACCAGCAGGTGAAAGAGGTCTTCGATTATGCAGCTCGAGTGACACAACTCGCGCGCTTCTTGTTCCCCGGCCCGCCACCTCTTCGCTGCGTGCATGCGGACATGGCTACGTATACGACTTCCGACTTGGACCAGTATCGATTCGCCGCAAGCACCGGCAACGATGTTACGAACTTACGTTGCTGTACGAATCGCCCTTGCCCACAGATGTAGAAGTATAGCCGTCACGGTACGGCTTGGGATATGAACTCGTTGAGTCGTGCGTGCAGAGCGCAAACTAGAAGACTTTTTGTAACTTGATTCACGCGATCGGATTTCCCAGAGCAGGACAGTATGTGCATGGTACTAGCTCTAGTACAAGTAGTGTTCCGAATCGTGTTACCTGATACCGCGCGATTGGATACTGACTCCTGCAATCCCGTACTGTGAACTCCGCTGAGAGCATGGTGATAAAACGGGAAACGAAAACTAGCAGCTTGAAACGACAGCCTCACCGCACAGTTTCGACTGCACAAGTCGGTTGTAGCTTTTAGATTGAGTCATGTACATGATGTAGGTCTATGATGTAGGTCGACATGATTGTTCATCCTTGTAGTTGTACATGATTGTGTCTGCCTTCGATATACATGTACATGTACATGTATATCGAAGGCAGAGCGTTGAAACTAGTTACTTGAAATAGAGAGAAGGCGGATTGATTTCTCGTTGTGCGCGGTTTTGGCGCGACACCGGAGCCTCGTCGGACTTTAGTCACAACCTAATAGATCCGCGTGACGGTCACACCCTATCTCTTCAAGCACAGGTGAAAACTAAAAGACTACTTTTGCCGAAGTAACGTTTTGTAGTCTTTCTTCTGTTGATGTACATGATCTGATAGTGTACGTAAAACATAATAATCATGAGCCTCCAAAGTACACTGAATCTGTAGATGGGTGGTGATCCTTGTCTCGAATTCTCGAAAGTGAGCCGTGGCCATCCTACGTCCTGTGCCGTGGTCCTTCGTCTTTCGTCACCATCTCGTCAAAGCTGCTTAACAGTTTGCTGTGATACTTAGCTTGTTTTCGTCTTGAGTGCGCTCACCTTCTCCTTTCTCATGTCATTTCATAACTAACTTAAAAGCCTACCAAGTAACGTCAAGTTGGAAGGCTGTTGGTTTGCCCATTCATGATAGAGCACAAATCACCACGTCGTTGAATGTCAGTATCACATCAGACAGTTCAGTCAGTATTCTGCTAGCCGTT